ACTGTGAACTGCTGGGCTGGCAAGGACTGTCCTGAAGGGGAGACGGGGACGCACAGGCACGATAACTTTGGGCCTGACTTCCAGCACCTCCACTGGGAGGGGGTTCAGGGGTCCATGCTGGGACACTGGGTGGCCCCCCCGTGCAGGCCCGGTGGTGCCTCTGCATCTCTTCTTTCTGCCAACATCCCCCTCCCCACTCCCTCCCCCTCCCTGTGGAGACTTGAGGGCCTGGAGTTTGTCTTGTTTTCAAGGCATAAAAACAGGCCAGAGTGCGGAGTTCAATGGGACCCACAGGACCTGTGAGATCCGGGGCTGGTGCCCCGTGGAGAGCGACACTGTGCCCGTGTAAGTGTCCCTGACACCTAGGACAGGTCCCAGGACCAGCAGAGCCTGCCCCTGACCTCCCCCACCTGCAGGAAGCCCCTGCTGCTCCAGGCTGAGAACCTCACACTGTTCATCAAAAACACTGTCGCCTTCAGCAAGTTCAACTGCTCCAGGTCAGCATGGGGGGTCCTCGCTGTCCCAGATGCTCCTTGTCCCTTGCCTGGCCGGACCCCCAGCCCCACTCCCTCTCAGGTCCAATGCCTTGGAGACCTGGGACACCACCTATTTCAAGTGCTGCCACTGTGACCCAGGCTTCACCCAATACTGCTCGTGTTCCCCATCGGGGACGTCGTGGCTGTGGCTGGAGGGGTCTGTGAGGACCTGGTGTTGCTGGTGGCTCCGTGGGGGACAGGGTTCTGGGAGGGCTCAGGGAGAGGGTCCCTGCCCGTGTGCTCGTGGAGCAGTGATGTGCTGTGTGCAGGGCGGGGCTGTGGGCATCCACGTCTGCTGGGATTGTGACCCAGACGCCGGGGGCTCCGACGGCGACCGCAGGACTCCTTCCAGCTGCGGGAGAGGAGCTACGACTTCAGGTGCGGCCCCAATGCCCACCTGCTGCCCCTCCGCCTGTCCTCCTGTGGCGGCTGGGACAAACCCCAGCCTGGCCCATTCCTCTGGACCCTCTGCTGTGTGTGCAAGGGGTCCCCAGGGCAGGAGGGGGTGCTCTCAACTCCAGGTCCCTTGCATAGGCTCCAACCAGCCTCCTCACTGAGCCCTTTGGCCTCCACCCCATCCATCCTCACACCCCTGCTGCAGCTGGGACCCCTCACCCCTAGCTCCTCCTCCACTCCACCCTGCCTCTAGCATCTGCCTCCATGGCACAGAGGGCTTTCTTTACTTTTCCCTTAAGATTTTATCTTAAGGGAATCTTTAGAAAACCTCAAAGATTAGTACCGTGAAAACTCATATAGCCTTCATCTGGGTTCACCAGGGTTGTTTCTCTTTTTTTTCATACCATCTTGCTGCATTTGCTCTCTCCCTCCCTCTCTAGAGTGAGCCAGATATATGTAGCTAGATTTCACAGGAAACTCTTGGAAAGTAAGTGGCAGATCTCTGGACACTCACCCCCACAACACTGTCCTGAGAGTGAGGACCTTCCCCAGGAGACCGCTGTCCTCTTGTCACACTCAGAAAATCTAACATTGGCAGATAAATCTAATATTTAAATTTCCCCAGCTGTGCCATTAGCAGTCCTAAACCTTTTTATTTTCCGACCCAGGAGGCACTCAAGGATCTTGTGTTGCATGTATTGTCCTGTCTTTGAGTCTCCTAAGCAGACCCCCCATCCTCCTGTCACCTCATGTCACCTCGTCACCCTCACACATACGTGCACACAGCCACCGGGCCTGGAGGTGATGCCCCTGACACTGCTCGCTGGGCCCGGCCCGGCCCGGTGTCGCTGACCTCCCAGCCCTTTGCAACCATGTGGGGCTGGACCCCGCCCACACCCTTCTCCCCTCACCCTGTGCTCTCGCCCGCCCTATGTCTCTGCCTAGAACTCCTTCCTGACCCCTGGGAAACCAGCCTGAGAGTCTCCCGGCAGGAAGCCTTCCCTGGTTCCTAGGGTAGAGTGAGTGCCCCTCTCTGGACCCCAGAGCCCCGGGCCTGCCCCCACCTCTGCCACTGCCACTGGTGGTGTCTGTTTAGGGACCCTCCTGTCCCCATGCCCTCAGCAGGCAGAGAGCTTCTGCAAGGCAGGTCCCAGCTTGCTGTCCCTGTGTCCGCAGCAATGACACAGGGCTGAGACCAGGGACTCGGGCTGGGGGTTCAACAAAGGCCCCAAAGGGCACTGCCAACCCTGAGCAGACAGAGCCGGCTTCCCCACCCCCACACCCGGCTGCCCAGGTGCCTTAGAGGGGGCCCAGCACCTGCCCCCACTGGTGATGCTGGGAGCTGGACACTGTCTCCAGGGTAGCCCTGGAACTCACTTGCTGGCCTATCCCTGAGGCTTGTAGCCTTTGGTGGTTGGGAACTGGGAAGGGTGGGGGCCCTGCCTTGAGGACTCCTGGATGAGGCTGTAGCAGGACCCGGGCTGGGGGTAGGGGGGAGAATTCCACCCTTCAGCTCCCAGGCAGACTGTTCCTCCCCAACTCCAGCCTTGGCAGGGTGCTGCCTGGGACCACAGAAGCCAGTTTTGTATAGAGACCTGCAGGGGAACACAACACAGGGCACTGGTCCAGTGGGGCTCCTGCTGGGTCTGGGTCTGGACAACAGTCTCCCAGTCTGTCTCCAGTGTTCCCAGCAGCTCCCCCCTCACCAGCTGTCCCCACACAGGCTGTGGTCGACTCTGGCCCTGCCTGGCTCCCAGCCCTCCTCCCCCTGCCAGCACTCCCCTCACAGTAGAGCCCCTCCCCTCTCAGCAGCCCTGCATGGGGGTCTGTGCAGCCAGAGTCCAAGGCAAGGGAGAAAGAAGCCTGACAAAAGGAGTTGTCTCAGCTGCTCTGGGGCTGGGTTCCTAGGGCAGGTCCTCTCCCAGCTCTGGGCCTCATCCATGCAGTGAGGAGTGTGGTGGGCAGATGATCTGACCCTCTAGGACCCCTGGTAAGGGCACAGGCACTTCTTGAACCCAAACCTGCTCAGCTTATGAGCACCAGCCCCTTCCTCATGGCAGCCCTCAGGCTGTGGAGGGCTGGGATGGGGAGGAGGGTGGAGGAGCTGAGTTGTTGGGTCCTTTGGGACCTTCTATCTGTCTCCTTGGAGACCCCCAGCCAAACGCCCTGGAACCTGCTCACTGGGTTCCTGGGAGCCATGGGGTGAGGAGGCTGTAAATCTGGACACGTCTGTCACTGCTGCCCAAGGTCACACCTGAGACCATGTCTGGGCAGCTGCCCACCCCAGCCTGAGGCAACTATATGAGGACCACGCTCTGACCAAGATCCCAGGTGGAGCCCAGGGGCTGGAGAGAATGTCCCTAACAGAGGACATGGAAGCCCCCATCAAGTTGGCCTGGTTCTGTCTCTGGAATCCTCCCGGGGGCCTGAGTCCTGCCTGCTGGAGGATTTCCCCGTGCCCCGGGGCTCACGGTCAGGAGGGGAGGGACAGGGCTGCAGGAGCCAAGCCCTCTTTTGGTCCCAGGGAGAGGCAGGGATTTGGGGGTACCCACCCCAGGGATACAAGGGGCGGCATTCTCATGGGTCCCTGGTGACCAGGGGCATGGTGGCAGCTTGCTGGTGGAGCAACATGGGCCAGGTTAGGGAGGGCCAGGGCTGGGGCTCAGGCTTGGCAGCATCTGGAATCATCTGGCACCTGGAGCCCCAGCAAAGCCTTGGGGTCCCTGCTCCTCTCAATCCCCAGAGCCGTGTCCGTGGGAGGTGGGTTCAGAAGGGCCAGGGTGAGAGAACACGGCCCTGAGCCTGGTCATTGGAGCGGGGTCACGGGTACCTGGTTGTCCTTGGGCCCCAGAGAAAGCTGAGGTCAAGGCTGCAGAGAGCCGAGGAGTAAAGCTGCCAGAGCCAGCAGCTTCCTGTGTGGTCCTTACAGGCAGAAACGGGGAGGGGGAGGCATCTATGGCAGCCGTAGCGTGGTCTTGGGGAGACCAATGGGGGTGTAGGGTGGGCCTGGAGACCCCCAATGATGGGGCTCCACCACCACCAGGTAGGCTGGAAGGTACCTGCACACCACCACCTGCACACGTGTGTCCGTCCGGAGCCTTTATCACAAAGCCCTGAGGGGCAGGCAGGGAGAGAGGCAGCTGGGGAGCTGGGGGCAGCCCTGAGCTTGGAACCAGCTGTGCCTCAGTCTGCACGTGGGTGTGCACCCCCAGGCGAGCCGTGTGGGCCACGTGGGCCTGTGCCTGAGAGATGTGTGTGCCCGGGCAGGTGGGCCTCCACATCCTGGGGCAGGCCTCAGGCACATGGTCTGCTCTCTGGGAGCCCTGGGAAACCGAGGGAACCCCAGAACTCCACGACTCTTTCTAGGTAGCTTCCTTGGGTTCCAGGCTCTGCTCTCTGGATCCGCCCCTGAGGGAGCCTGTCCCCGCCTTGTCAGGGAGCCCATGTGCCTAGTGTGTGTAGCTCCCCTCTGAGCTGGGCAGAGGGCATTGGCCTGAGGGCAGGGTGCTGAGACCCAGGCCTGGCCGTGTCCCTGACTCGGGCTGTCCCAGTGCTGTGGTCTCCCCCTTGCAAACCTCAGCACCTCTGCTGTGGATTGGGGACAATCGCCTGGTTCCCGGGGACAAGTGAGGACTCAGTGTCACAAAGAACACCATAGTGGATACGGTAGCAGGAGATATGACTGGCTTAGCAGTTATTGTGCATCCCCAGGGCTCCAGACCTCTTCCATCCCTGCCCTTCTCGACCTGCCCAGGCAGCTGGAGTTGGTCATAAACTGGAAGGCACTGGGCAAGGAGTCCACCACACCAGCACTGGCCATGGCCCACGCCCAAAGACTCAAAGCTCGGCACCTGGGCTAAGGTCCTGAGGACCCGAGGAACCCCTAGCTTGGGCAGGCCTGCAAACCCGAGCCGCCCCGGATAGAAGGGGCTTCCAGCACCTCTAGTCTCATGAGGAGGTGGGCAGGCCCCAGCGGTCCTCATGGACTGGTGGGCTGCTCCGTGTGTCCGGGCTCCTGGGCAGGTGTCTGGCTGGGGGGCTGCAGGGCCTGCACCGTCTCCTCCAGACTGCCGCGTGGGGCAGTCAACCTGGCCGCTCCCGCTGGTTCTCCTTGCTGTGCTGGATGCTGTAGCCAAAATACACCGCGAATCCTGCAAGTGGGGCACAAGCCTGATGGGAAGGTCCCAGCCCTGCTTCCCTGCTTGCCCTCCTCCTGCAGCCCACCCGGGTCCCAGCCTGGCCCCCACTCACCAATCAGCAGCCAGATGGAGAAGCGCAGCCAGGTCAGGGAGCTCAGGTGCAGCATCAGGACGATGTTGAGGAGGATGCTCAGGGCTGGAGTCAGGGGCACCAGGGGAACCTGAGGGGCAAGGGCAGGGCTGGGCTGGGCTGTGGGAAGGTCTGCTGGCCCAGGGCCTGATTTCTCGGGAGTCCTCAGAGCCTTTCTCCGCCTCTGGAGATTCTGGAGACAAGGGCCCACTCATCATGCAGAAAGAGGGGGATGGGGGACTGGCCTCCCCCACCCTGTGAGCCCTGGTGCACCCTGCCACGGCAGAGGAGGGAGGGGCGAGGGGAGCTGGCTGGGCTGAGAGTGAGGGGTGTTGGCTGGAGGAAGTACCTGGAAGGCGTCCTGCCGGCGCTGTTGCTGGTGGGCCCCCAGGACGAGGAGACTGAGCAGAAACATGACGGAGCTGAGCAGGAGCAGCAGGGTGTAGCCCCAGAGCGGGAGGTGCAGGGCCGAGTCCCCGAAGACCAGCACGCAGTCCAGAGCGATGGCCGAGGCCACCAGGACACCGAGTGCCCAAGCCACGGCAGTTCCAGGCCGGCACCCACCCAGGAAGCCGAGGTAGGGCCTCAGGGCTGGTCGCAGCTGCCCAGGCTCAGGGGCTGAGGCCTGCTCTGTACCCACATCGTTGGCTGGGTCCAGGGAACTGGATGGAGGGGCCCTCTGGAAGCGTAGCATGATAATGCTGGTGGCTACGAAGATGTAGGCCAACAGTACGCCGATGGAGTGGAAGTGGAGCAGTGCCTCGATGTCCAGCAGCAGCGCCAGGAAAGCCATGAGGATCCCGAACACCAGGATGCCCACCACGGGCACCTGTGTCCGGGAGTGTATGTGGGCCAAGACCTCAAAGAAGAGCCCGTCAGCAACCATGGCATGGACCATGTGTTGCAGGGAAAAGAGGCTGCTGAGCAGGACAGTGGTCATGGCTGTGGCAGAGGGTGGGAGACTGGTCAGCATGATGGACAGGCCCACCAGGGGCCACTGCTCGGGGCCAGGGCAGGGGTGGCCCGTTGGGAACATGGGCATGAGTTTTGTCTCTCAGAGTGAGCCTGAATGTATGTGGGGTGCTGGATTGTTCCCCCCTCACCACCCAGGAATGGGACAGCCCAGTTTAGGTGACAGACCCACTGGAGAATGTGATGAGGGCTGAGTCCCTCTGCCAGGAAAATACCTGGAAGCACGTGCCCAGGGCTGACATTCAATGTACAATTGTCGGGGGTGAGTATGTCCCTCCCAACAAGCCTGGATGGGGAGTCTAATCATTAGCCCCTTCCTGGGCCCATGATGCAACTGGGAACACAGGCCCAGATGGAGATGTGTTCCCTGGGAGGCTTAGGGCAGGGCCCCTCCATCCTGGTCCCTCCCTCCTTGCCTGGGAGAACCCCTTACCACAGATAGCACCAGCAGCCACGATGAAGCCTGCCCAGCTATAGCCCCGCTGGTAGAAGGCATCAGTAAGTGCTGCGTCAGGGTCCAGGCTGTGCCAGGGCACCATGAGGGTGAGCACAATGGAGACGAGGATGTAGGAGACAGCTGCCATGCCAAGCGAGATGGCGATGGCCATAGGCACGGCTTGCTGCGGGTTCTGAGCCTCCTCGCTGGAGGCAGCAATGACATCAAAGCCCACAAAGGCGCAGAAGCAAGTGGCGGTGCCGGCCATGATGCCAGAGATGCCAAAGGGCGCAAAGCCGCCCTCCTCAGCACTCCAGTTGTGCGGGCGGACCAGGACACACCCCAGGATGATGATGAAGAGGATGATGACCAGGTTGACGGCAGAGAAGGTGTGCTTGAGCCAGGAAGAGACGCGGATTCCGCAGGAGATGAATGCAGAGGCCAAAAGTGCAATGCCAGCAGCCAAGAAGTCTGGGTACTGGGCCAGGAAGGGCACCTGCCAGATGCCCACATGGGCCTCAGTGAAGCTGCTGATGCGGTGGCTGAAGGTGGAGTCCAGGTAGCCACTGCAGGCACGGGCCACGGCGGCACCAGCAATGAGGTACTCTAGGAGCACATTCCAGCCGACGAGGAAGGCCCACAGCTCGCCCATGGACACATAGGTGAACAGGTAGGCAGAGCCTGCACGGGGCACACGAGACCCAAACTCCGCGTAGCATAGGGCTGCCAGCAGGGAGGCCACGGCAGCCACGCTGAAGGACACAAGCACCGCAGGGCCAGCCAGCTCCTTGGCCACAGCACCTGTGAGCACATAGAGGCCTGAGCCCACCATGCCACCCACACCCAGCAGGGTCAGGTCCAGCGTGGTCAGGTGGCGCTGCAGAGATGTTTCCCTGGTGGGCTCCTCCAGTGTCTTCAGCCGGTTCATCATCTGGCAGAAGCGCGCCAGGCTGGTGGTGCTGGGCAGCCCCTGGGCCATGGTGGGCAGCTGAGAGGAGCACCAAGCCAGCTGCTGGTATCTACAAGGACCAGAGGGAGTGACAGGCTGCCCAGCAGGGTCCTGACCAGCCTTCCGTCCTTGCCCTGACTCTGCCCTGGGGACCCAAGCCTGGAACCACCGGCTAGCTGGAGGGCTGGATGAGGCAAGGGTCAGGGCCTGCTAGCAGGGTGGGCAGGAGGTCATAGGAAGCATGGAGATCCCTTTGGTCTGCCTCCTAGCCAAGGGAGGGAGCCTGGTGGAGGCAGACTTGGGCATGTTTGGGAGGGGTTCTGGGGGTGGGGAGGTGGCAGCCCCAGGGATCCTGGCCAAGAGCCCTTCCAGTGGTGTGGGATCTGAGAGCAGCATGGAAACCTGAGGCTTCTCCGGAGCTCAGCCAGGCCTCCAAGACTTGGAACAGCAGTGACTCTGTGGCCCTGGGATATGCCCGGGCAGCCATCTGGCCTCAGACAGCAGTGTTTATTCCCTGTCGCCCTTTCACCAGGCTGCTGTATCAGTGCACCCAGCCTGGAGTAGGGGGTGCCCTGGGCCCTGCACTGGAAGCCAAGGCCCCTCGCCGCACCCCGTGCCCAGACACATCACCACTATGCTGCCCTCAGAGCCAGTTCCACCGTGCCCCTGTCCCCAGGTACCAGAGCACTTCCCTCCTCTGAGGACTGAGTCCATCCCTGCAGAACTTGTGACTCACATGCTGTCCCCACTGCCACTGCTCTGCGCACTGCCCTCACCCCACCCCTGGGCTCCAGATCCAGCACTGGGCCCTACTTCCTAGTCACACACACTCAGCCCATGCTACCCACACCTCACACAGTCAAGACCAGAGCTCCCCAGGTTCTAGAGAAACCCTATTACTGTGCCCGGTTCACGAATGAGGAAGCCCAGGCCACCAGGTAAGTGAGTAGCCCAGGTCACTGGTGTGGCCTCAGGAGGCTGGTGGAGGTTAAGGTCCAGGTCTGGGGGTGCTATCTGGAGCTCACCCGCTTTCACTGCTGCAGACACCCTCCTTGACCCCTCATCCCAGCCCCCATACTCTACCAGTTGGGCACCATCCAGGCCCCCTCAACAGTGGGAGGTGTGGGGGCTGCGAGCGTCAGGCAAGACTCTGGTACGAGGAGGGTATGAATCTGGCTGAGAGGCCCTGGGCAGTCCCTGACCTCCCGGCACAATGGGACGGCAGGAAGCCACCCTCATCCACTGACGAGGGAGTGCCTGGCTTTGGGGACCGTTCTGTGAGTTGGCAGAACTCATGCTGTCTGTTCTGAGGTTCTAGCTACAGAGCGTGTCCTGAAAGGAGGGAAGCAGACTCCTGGGGACGACAACCAGCCCTCGAGCCTGGGGCACCCTAGGGCCCCTCAGACACCAATGGCAGCCCCTTCTAGCCCAGGAGCACCTGTCAACACTGGAGGACCCTTCAGAAGATCCCCACTTGTGGATATCCATGAGAGGTGTCGGGGACTGAGCATCCACTCCATGTCAGTCCCCATATCTTGGGGAGAGATGTGTGTCTCACCCCATGACCATCACAAACCCCCCTCAGACTTATTTATTCCTGGGGCTGAGGGGTCTTTGTCCTTCTGCTCCTCCCACTTCTTTGAAAGTGGAAATGTTGGTGAGACAGGGTATGAACTTGTTTACAGCAAAATGATGACAATCCATCCAAGCAAAGCAAAACCAAAACAGATGTCCTCTTTCCCCAGAACTTTCTCCATGTTGTCAGGTTTGTATGTGGTGTGTGGAATAGGATTTAGGGGCACCTGCAGGCTGTCTGGCTCAGTGGGCTGGGGACAGGGTGGTGGACTCCCAGACAAGATGGTGCTACTTAGAACACTCTGCCTTAGCCAGCTCCCTTGCCTCTTCTGATATTTGGCTGATGTTGTCTTGAGGAACTTCTCAGATGGGCTCCCACTTGCTGCAGGGGTGACATATCCCTTACCTTGCTCCTTGTGGCCTAAACATGACTGAGAAGATGTTCCTTCTTCCGAAATGCCTTCACAGAAATCCAGAAAAATGCATTTCCTACCAAGAGGCTTGGGCAGTTTTGTAACAGGAGCTCTCCCAAGGCCTTACTGATGACCACCTGAGAGCTGGTGTGCAGGGTTTCAGAGCACTGACTTTTTATCTACCCTGAGAGGTTCTCACCACACCCCCTTTCACAGGCACCAACATGCAATGGGTATTTGTGGCCAAGCATGGTTGACATAGTGAACTGTAAACTTCCAGGGATATGGCTGGTCTAAGTGCTGGACCCCACTGAGCAAGGCAGTTACACAGAGCAACACCAGGAAGATGCAGTGAAGACAAAACACCAAAATCTACAAGAAGAAGAAGAGAGAACACTTCCCACCTCATCCTACAAAGCTAGGATCACCCTGACACCAAAACCAACAAAGACATCACAAAAAAACTACAGATCAATATCTTTTATGAATATAGATGCAGAATTTCTCAACTAAATAATAGCAAATCGAATCCAGCAACATATGAAAACGATCAAGTGAGATTTATCCCAGGTTGCAAGACTGATTTAACATCTGAAAATCAATCAGTCATATGCCATACTAATAGAATATGGGACAAAAACCATATGATCGTCTCAACAGACACAGGAAAAAACAGTCAACAAACCTGGAATAGAAGGGACCACCCTCAAACAGATAAAGACCATCTACGAAACACCTTACGCTACTACACTCAATGGTGAGAGACTGGAAGCTTTCCCTTTGATCAGGAACAACATCAGGATGTCCTCTCTCACAACTTGTATTCAACATTTTACTGGAGGCTCTGGCCATGGCAATTAGGGGAGAAAATGAAATAAAAGGAATCCAGATTGGAAAGGAAGAAGTAAAACTTCTTTTACTTCTTGTGATGTTACTTCAGTGATGACATGATCTTATGTGTAGAAAATCCTAAAGAATCCACACAAAAAATATTAGAACTGATAAACAAGCTCAGAAAAGGTGCAGGATACAAGAACAATATACAAAAATCAATTGTATTTCGAGCATCATGGCGGAGTGAGCTTTCCCGTGAACTCTTCCCCAATAAGATACAACAAAAGGAACAGTCACAGACCAACAACGGAATCCCAGACAGTGAAAAGCTAGATAGGAAAGATCCACACTGCCATACATCTGCGAGTGGAACGTGCTGGGCCCCGGGAGGAAGTGGGGAGAGGTAAGGAGAACTCCTCCCCCTCCCCATCAGATCAGTGATCCAGGGCCAAGCCACTCCCAGAGAGGGTGGAGGGGCGGCCCTCAGCGAGGAAGCTGTAGCTCTTCCGGCCCTCTCAGCCAGTGGGAAACTCACGCACAGAGGACTCAGAAGAGCCACAGGGTTATCATCAACATCTGAGCACCCCTGAGAGCGGATAATGAGGGGCGAACGAGAGGCCCCCCATGCCAGGGACCCAGAGGGCAAAAGAGAGAGCCCCCCCTCCCCGCAAACCAGACCCTGCAGCTCAGCCGATCAGACCAGACCAAGCGATCCCACCCGACCAGATCAAGTGATCCAACCAGCGGATCGCAGCGGAAAAACCGAGGATCGCAGTGGAAAAACCGCAGCAGAGAGCAGGGGGCTTAGATTACACAGCCCTTTACCACCACACAGTGTCGGTGGGTGGAAATTGCAACCAGAGATTTCCAGGATGAGGAAAAACAAA